ATAAGTTTTTGGATTTGTCTTTAAGGAAAGGAGCTGAAAACCCCATCTCAGACACTGGCATCATCCTTCCTGACACTGGCATCATCCTTCCTTCCCCTGCCAGTTTGGAGAGGCTGCTCTGAACATTCAGCAGAATCAGAAAAGCTTTTTACCTCTCAGACAGTGTTTTTAGTTAAGGGGGATAATATTGGTCAAAATTTGCTTTAGCATGCATGTGCATGAAGGTTGGTGCCTTTTGTCAGGGCTCTGACAGCACCACAGAGGCTTGGCAGGTGCTGAACTGAGGCGTTAGGATTTAAAACCAGTCAAAACCATTTCAATTACTCAAATCCCAAACTGTTTTAATGGCTCTGAGAAGTTTCACCTTTGGCCCAGGACTTTGAGATTGATTTTAAAACAAAGTAACATGAAGGTGGGAGATGAGGAAAATGATCACTCTTGTTTTATTGGAGAAGAAATGAAAGGTTCTGACTTCTCTAGGGCTGTGAGAACAGAGCTGGGCACTGCTTTTTGGGAGCCTGGTCCACGTTCTCCTGCTCATTCTCAACCTGATTTCTTTGTGCTCTTCTCCCCCAGGTGTGTGACCATGGAAGAAGAGGTTCACCATCAAGAATCCTGAGCAGTGACACCAGGACAGCTCTGGAGACACTGGCAGCCTGAGCTACAGGAGAGAGGAATCATGCTGAAACCAAGTGGACTTAAAATCCCAGGCAGGGCTGGGAAGCACTCCAGCCCTGTGGGACGGGCATCAGGGACCAGCACAGCTGCTGCCACCACTGGCTCCAAGGAAGGTGAGGGCTCCTTGCAGGGCATCAGCTCCCCAGGGACTGCCTGGCCTGGAGGCACTGGGCTGGTGGAGCCAGTGTGATGTGGGATTTGAAATTCCCATCTGTGTGTGGGTTGAGGGATTAAAACAAGTGTATCAGGGTGAATAAATGGGCTCCCTCTCCCAGGTGATGCACAGAACTGGCAAGTTGTGGAGTGGGTGCTGTTGGGGAAGATCAAACAGGAAAGCCTTACAAATATGATTGTCTGGCAAAAGATTTTGAGGATATGGAAACTATAAGTGAGATTGAAATGAAAGCAAGCTTTGAGATCCCTCAGTTACTGAACAACTGGAAAACAATGGTGTGGCTGCTGAAGGTGATCCCCTTTTGATGGAACAACACCCTCTGCTTGCAGGCAGGCCCAAGGGTCAGAGCAGACCCTAGAGCTTGGCAGAAGGGGCCCAAAGAGGAGTTTTTAGGGTTTCAAATGTAACACAGTGTGGTAATGTAGTGATTCTATAGGCTGTACGGAAATGCTATGGGATTTGTATCTTGTATTAGATTGGTTAGTGAGAATGAGAATACTCAGCACAGAAGAAGATTTATTGTATTGTAATGGGAACCTCGCTGTCTCATCCTCTTCACCACGCTCTTGCCTTCTCTGTCTTTACCACTCTGGAAACCCAGGGCACAGGGAATATTCCTCTGTCTGCTCTGGGGTGCCCTGACCCCCAGGGGAGCACTGACTTTGACCCTCATTCATGGAGAAAGTTTCCTAAACTCCAGAATAGACTGGAATCCACAAAAGTGTGAAATAGATTATAGAGAGTAGTGTAGGTGCATCACTTGGTGAGAAACTGAGGTTTGGGGATTTTTAGTATGTAGTAGATGGAGGGCACAGGGTGTCATCCTGGGCTGCTCCTTCTTCCTTCTTCTTCATGGGTTTGGGTGGCATTTTGTAATTGGGCAGAAAAGTCCACATTGTGGGCTCTTTAGGATCAGTTATTGGGTTAAAAGGGAAATAATCTAGGTGTCAGTTCTTAATTGCATAGTTTAGCTTTAAAAGACCTCATAACAAGAGATTGTTGGCCATTTTTGTGGTGCTTTTCCAGTGCACTGAGCTTGGTGTGGACAGTGCGCAAAACTCTAGATAAGATAATAATAAACAAGAACCTGAAGACTGAAAAGATCCAGTGCATCTCTTTCCTGATACAAAACCACTCCAGAAGGGTCTTCCCAGCCAGGGGAGCCCCCTGGGAGGGCCCAGCCAGAGTCGCAGAAGTCAGGGAATGAGCCACAGGTACCCTGATAACCTCTCTCTTTACCTCTCTCCCTCTTTGGTGCCTGCTCTGAGCTGTGGCTGGCAGCCCCTGGTCTGGATTTATCACTGCAGCATGTTGTGGAGTTGCTTTCAGTTGATTCTAATCACATGAAAAACCAAAATGAGGCAAAAGATCTGAGGCCTCTCTTCCCCCCAGAGGCTTTGCAGTGGCATCTCAGCAGGCACAGTTGGTGTGTGTCTTGTGGTATGAANCCAAGTGATTGGTGTTTTTCACAAACTGGCTGTATTTCAGGATAAAAGCATCTGTCTGTTCCAAGGGGAGCATGATTAGCAGCCTGTGGAGTTCATTTGGTTCTAACATCAGTGTGTTGAAAGCAAATGTGTTTGTGTAAAGATTCCTGGCAGAAATATTTATGTGGTGGGAATACACTTCCTGTTGTTTCTCTCCCCAGTGTAAAAATATCCAGTTGTCCTGAGAAAAAGCAGAAAATCACAATATCCTGTGATGGGAGGAGACAGCTGATCTTTAGGGATAATGAGATGTGGAGAGAGGATGAACTGAAGTTCCTGTTTGCTCAAAGATGAGCAGCAAAATTGAGGAACACACTAAATATAGAGGAACGCACTAAATTCACTCTTGCCTAAAGTTTGTATGGTTCTGGCTGCAAAGTTGAGGATCCAGAGATGCTCTCTAACAGAAGACTAAAAAGCTGTAGAACCTTTTATTTTTCTGGCACCTTTTCCTACTTAAATTCTTCTCTACTGCTGTTTTTTCCTTCCCTGTGTCTTTTTATCTTCTTTTCCAAATTCCTGGTTAATTCAGCCAGCTGTATGGAAGCACCAGCAGCCCCAGGTTGCATAATCCTGAGTACACCATCCAACCTTGTAACCAAAATGTAGGACCAAAAAATGAGTGAATTCAGGAGTAAGTCGTGTTGTGGAGAGAGCAAACTCTCAGGCTGGAGGGGGTGGATGGAGATCTCTAGGTAGAGCACATCACCTGCCAGCAGGAGAGTTAGAAATCCAGTTTGTCTGTAAAATCAAAGCCAGCACTGGGCAAAATGTGCACTGTGAGATGGAGTGGGTGGGAGATGCCACATCTGATGGCCTGGCAGATAACAGGAACCTGCTTGGTCAATGTTTCTCACCTCCAGATTCAGTTCCTTGTCTCCCTGTTTTATGCTAAACAGAGCTGGAAGCTGCAGCCTCCTGTCCAGCTCTGAGCTGTTCCCACCAGCTCTGCTGCAGAAAGGCAGCAGAGGTTTTTCTGGGTTTTCTTTTCCTTAAGAGTTTTTTGCTCTTGTCTGTTATTCCTGCTGTGGGTGATGTGATTGGAGCATCCAGCCCTGAATATCTGCAGGTGTCTGAACCCAGCCCAGCTATTGAACACCTTGGTGGGCACATGGGGAAAAGGCTTTGATCCCTCAGGTTTTTGCTCAGGCTCCCTCCCCAGGGTGTCTCTGCTGATCCCTCCTTTCTCTGTCTCTTTAAGCTGATGTGGGATGACTGACTCTTGCTGCTCTTTGGTGTTTTAGATATTTGTGAGCCCTCAGGAATACAGCTTTGGAATTCTCCTTGTGGTTTTCCCTCCTCTGTGTCTGCCTGCAGCTTTTCCTGGAGCCCTGCCAGCCCTCTGCTCGCTCTGACCCAGCCTCTGTTCAAGTCCTTACTCATGCCTCAATCATTTCCCATCCCATTATTGCAATTCCTCCTTGCAGCATCTGTAAATCCTTGATTCTCAGGGGTGCTGCCTCTTTCCTTTGCCCAGGAAAGTGTCCCCAGTTTCTGGCTGCTCCTTGGATTGCTCTCCTTGCTGTTAGGTTGGCATTGTCACTGATTTACTCTGCTGCCACCTTTTTTCCTCCACATTCTAGCCTGCTGACTCCCAGCCTCAAGATTCCTTTTGGCTGATAGGCTCAATTTTTTTTTATTATTTTTCTTTATCCATTAGGAATGTTCCTGCTTTTTTTTTTCTTTTAACAACTTAGTCATTTCCTTTATTTTTCCTTTCTTGTCATAAAATGTGCTTGCTGATGCAACATCCTTGCAAGGAATTTGGAGGTTTTATTCCATTTGCCTTCAGGGAAGGGAATGACATAAGGAAGGGTTGTGACTTCACTAATAAATAGTTGGTAGAGTTATGCTTAAATTTCAGGAAATTTGGGGGTTTGGTTG